GTGAACAGGGCTTCAACAGCGAAACGTTGCAGTGCTCAAGTTGCGCTGAGCTGCCGCAGTTTCACCTGGACGAGCTTGTTACCAGCTGTGATGCCTGTTGCACCAAAGATGATGCCGAGCTAAAACACGAGGTTGCTGTACTTACCGGAATTCCTAGGCATCACATAATCTGAACTCAGTTTTCTGAATGTGCCGGAAACTGCGCTAATTGATATGGTTTTACCTTCCATCATCGACAACCTTGACAAGGGGGCTGATTGTCTTCTTCACAACACCTCTTCCTTTCGATATCCAAAACGCAATTCTGGGCCCCTCATACGAGAGGATGAAAGTTTTGATGGGAAAATTGCTAACTCGGGAACGAGGAAAGCTATAAAAACTGAAACTTTGAGGCCCTGTCCGGTATACTCAGTTGATAGCTTTTCCCTAATGCTGCATCGCCTGGTAATCGGCCTGCTACTGAAAATTATGATATCTGTTTTTCCCTCCGAAGATGATTATTAGTCTGAAGAGGTATTTAATAAGCTTCAGCTGTTTTAACTTACTCTTAGAGTGTGTGTGTTTCTCTGTGTGCGTCTGTGTGCGTGCGTACATGTGTGTGGGTGTACTGCGTCCGTGTGTTTGTGTGTCTTTGTGTGTTCGCGTTTGTGTGTGTGTGTTTTTATGTGTATATGTTTTTGTGTGTGTGTATGTGTTTTTGTGTGTGCTCTGTACGTGTGGGTGTATGCTGTGTGCATGTTTGTGTGTATATGCTTGTGTGTATGTGTTTGACTGTGTGTTTGTGTGTGTGTGTGTATGTATGTGTGTATGTTTGTGTGCGTGTGCTGTGTGTGTACATGTGTGTCTGTTTGTGCATGTGTGTGATTTTTCTGAAATGCAATCACATGCCGTACATTTTATATGTCGTACGTTCCTGACCTGTAGCACCAGCTGCATTTATGCTCTAATTTTCTTGTCGATGTTACTCTTTTCTGATGATAACTTACGAAGCAAACTCATGATACTTTGATATCGTGATTACTGTGATTATATCATGGTCATTCGTTCAGCTGTTTAATTTTTCAAAATTTTTTTTTTGCAGAAATATCCACTGGCGCATATTGAAATTTGTGAATGTAACCTAGGGCGGTTTCCGCAAGCTGAAGGTATGCTTTTATTGTTTCATTTCGCTAATAGTAATTGCTTAACTTAATTTTTTTTAGCAAAAAAAAGCATTATTTGAGTTGTCGCTAACAATGTTTTGCCGCTCGGGGTTACTTTCAGGTGTTTTTTTATTTCCATAATTTTTGAAATTTGGAAAATTTTGAAGTCTGAGCAACCGTAAAGTGTGAGGATTTCTGACTGTAAATATAAATTTAATTTTTTTTCCCCCTAAAACGAAATATTTCCCGTGCATTTTTGCCCTTAAAATTCGAAGCGATTTTCTAATTCTCTAGCAGACTAGCCAGAAGTGATGCAACATTGGTCAAAGCGACTGAAAGAGTTGCCAAATGCAAAGGTGAAGAATCACGCCGGGAAATGTAGCTGCCCAACATATTTTAAAGTTAAATTAGTTCACAAGTATGTGCGGAAGATTTGCTTAGATTGGTTAGCATTATTTTCAGCATTCGTTAAGGGTAATATGGTGAAAAAATGGGGGGCCTGTGTGAAAATTTACCATGTTCGAGGAACACTGCCAACGATCAAGCTACTGGATGCACAAGGACAGACGCAAAAAATAATGAACATTGAAAAATGGGATACCGATACGATTACGGAATTTTTGAATACCTGGCTGGAGTGCTAACAATTGCCGAAGTATCCATTTTATCATTCTCTTTTTAATTTATATTTTTCTTTCATGCTGTAATCTTTCGCGCCTTCGCCATTTAGGCTTTCCAGGGTCAACCTGGTTGCTACAATCGGCTTACTAAAAAGAAATAAATGGCAACGCGCACCAGACTAGCCGGTGCGATCATGCGTTTTGTGCAATTCAG